TGAAAATTATTAACACTCTTCTTATTATGGAACATTTATTCTAAATTCTATCGTCAATCACCGCTTCGGTGGGACTCACATTTTTTTTTTTCAACACTTTTTTTTTTTAAAAAAAAAAAAAAACCCCACCGAAGCGTTGATTGACAGTAGAGATCAGTCACCACATGCATCTCTGCATGTGCAGAATAATTTTTTCATATGCAGTCAAAGTAGAAGGCATATTACCAACAATATTACCTCTTACATTATTTTAAGCCAAACTAGACTCTCATTTTGAGCATTTTGACTGTAATATTGCAAAATATTAGGCAAAATCAATGAAGCATCCACTATAGAAATATCAACAATATTCTTTATTTGCAAATTATCTTTACTAACCATAACTGAATCATTGCAAACAGCAGGAACCTAATTAACATAATCATTGTAAAAAGTATTGGGAAGCATATCATTAATAGGAAAGATTTCACCATATACTTCCTCAATCTAAATATCATTTCCAAAAATATTTACAGGATACTGAGATTTGGCGACACAATAACTAAAGAATTAGGAACAAGTAAAACAGAAAGAGCAAAAAAGTTAGAAACAAGAATAAAATTACAAGCCGAAATTATATCCAACAGTTTCAGAGAAGCATTTTTAGGACAACTAACAGGTTCATGATCAAAAGTTGAACACGTGATAAAATTATGTCTAACTCTTCCACATAATTAAACTAAAAAAATCATTCGCAAGAATAAAATTACAAGCCGAAATTATATCCAACAATTTCAGAGAAGCATTTTTAGGACAACTAACAGGATCATGATCAAAAGTTGAACACGTGAGGGAAAGAAGTTCGATTGAACCGTTAGATTCTAAAACTTACTGATTAGCTGCAAAGATTGTTATAGAAAGGACATTTATATAGAGAGTACCCAACCAGAGTCATGTTTCACAGTTTAGAACCATCTTCAATCTCCTTTTTAATGAAGATAACTCTGTCTTCCAACAAGAATGATAAGCTAATTTAAAGCTCGAGGAATTTGAGAAATGTGAAGAAATCAAACTTTTCCAATTCAGAGAATGAAATGATCCAAGAAAATATTTGAACGAAGAGGAAAGAGGGACAAAAATTTGGAATCCATGATATACAAGGGGCAAAACCCCTAAAATTAGAGAAACCGCTGGGACCCAGATAGAGAAACCAAACCCTGGAACTTCTTTTCCCAAGGAGAGGAAAAAAGTAAGAAGAAAAATGAAACCCTAAAAGAGAACTCGAAATCCCCAAAACTCTCTCTACGAAACAATGAAATTTAACATAGATGTATGAAAAGAGTAATTGTATGTTTTTAAATGTATAAAATAAATACCAAAAAAAATAAAACATATATTGAATAGACCCTTAATAATGAGATTGATGTGTGTCTTGGAAGCATTAAAAATTTGAGGATCACATGACACATTTAAGCCACAAGAGTTGTAGAAGTTTCTTTGAAGCATAACACATTTTATTTCATTTTGTTGTAGGAGAGATAAGTTCGATATGACCTTTCAATTTTTAAATTCTTTTAGCCCAAAAGCTCTCTTGAACTGCCCTTAATTGGAATTTTCAAAATGTAGAAATTATGATACAATTATGTACTAACTATAAGAAAATGCTACTGAACATAAAAATTTTAAATACATAGAAACAACAAATAGAGATCGAATATATTTTAAAAAATAGTATGTATAAATATAAAGAAACAAATGCACGTACATTTTAAATAAGTTAACTACGTGTAAGTGTTTTTTGTTGTTTTTAGAAACTCGTAGTTGTCAACTTATATATGATGTCATCGTATGATTCCTCATTTCAAGTAAATCTCCCTCTCGGATCATATAAACGATTTGAAGAGTAGATGAATCAGAAAAGGATGGGAAATAAAACGAAAATAGACAAATAAATTTTAAAATGAACCATGGAGGTTTTAGTTATAAGGTAATCCTCGTACGATTGGTTGAGAGTATACGTTCGAACAAGATCAGATCAAAATATCTCGAAACACGATATCCACAATGAAAATCCCTACATAAGCCTCTCATAACCAGATAACCAAAAAGAATACTTTTGTTCTGAGGTCAAGAGCACTCACAAAAGAACACATCCCTTTGATTAATTGCATCTTACAGGATACCTAAGAATATTCTCGATAAAAAGAGTATTGCGTACATTATTTTGATCGGCAAATATGTCACCAAAAAGGAAGGTTATCTTGCAGGAGCATCCCGATGCTTTCAAAGCTCCCTCTAAGCCACAGGGTAGACAATGAACCTCTCACATTCCAAATGGGTAACGAATCATCGACATACAGGACCTATGAAATAACCAAAGTTGACTCATTATATTCACACTATGCTTCCAGAGCCTAACCGGGCCATAAGGGGTTGAGGGTGAATCACTGTATCCCAGATGGGAGGCGGCCAATCCGCAATTAGGGCCTATCAGACGACATCAACAAGGTTCCAAAAGGATGACAGGGTTAAAAAAGGCTCAATAAAAGGTGAGGTTAAATGATCCTAATTGGGTAGAGATAGTCGGATCAAGATATCTTTGATCTGTCATCCCAAGCTATTAGGATCCTAAGTATGCATGGTCCTAAAGGTAGTCAACTCAACACAATCAGAGACTCATTGTCAACAATCTATGAATTGTGACATCCAAGAAGACCTCGGTAGCCCTAAGATCGAAAGAAGGAGACTCTAAGTCCTACGACTTATAAAGGTAGAGCTGACAAAGGTGAAACTTATTGTCGCCAAATAAATGACAAAGATGTCACTGGAAAGAAGAAAAAAAAGAGAGGTTCAACTACAAAATTGAAAACTCCCCACAAAGAACATATTCTGGTTTGAGGAAGCCTCTAACATCTTAGTCGTGCTAGACAACCACCAAAGTTGTAAAACATATGCACGGAGGCTTCTTCTTCAAACATGTAATATGATGCAATTATATAAAGTCCTAAATGTGGAGGCATTATTAAGTATGACTTAAAATATGTCTATGTTATGAAAATCATTTTAAAACCAACCTAAAAGCCTTGCAGAAAAGTAAAGTGTATGTTTTAAATAGTTGAATATTTTAATTCTAAAATTTTGGTTTATCTTAATCTCTTATTAGGATTTTTTAAGAAAAAAAAATAATTTTAGGGTTCCTAAAGAGCTTAAATTATAGCGCAAGGTTCTCAGACAAACTACAATCAAATAACGACAAAAAGATAAGCACACTACACAAGTCAAGCACGCACCAAGAAGTTCGAATGAATGACTTTGACTACGAGAAACTAAACACAATCCCATAATATTCAAGTGGACACTCCACACATGCGACATCAAAATTGATGCCAACAATAAGATTCTCAAAAAGTAAACTATTATAAAATGATTATTAAATGAATTTTGATTTTTAAACATTATTATTAGAACTCTTAAAAACAATATAGATAATTTATCAATTTAACATTATTATTAGAACTCTTAATCATCATGTTCTCAACCACCATAAAATTTTATGATATTTAAAAAGGTAGAAGTAACAACAAACCCAAAATCTTCTAAAAAGATCACCACATTTTGTAGCAAACATATAATAACATAGAAGGGTTACTTTTATGAAATAATCATAAAAATCAACTAAGGGATTGCCTCTTTCAATATTATTTGACTAGCAAACGTTATCCAGAAATAATGATATTAGCTAGATACAATCTTATGTAATGTCTTCAAAATTTAACACGATATAAACTGGTATTCATGCTCTCTAAACATCCAAATGCTGACCAAATGTATAAACTATCTACACAATCAAAGTTAGGAAAAGCATGCTTATGAAATTAACATTTAAAAATATACTACTAAAACAACAAACTAAAAATAAAAATAAAAATAAAAACTAAATGCTCATGTTGACCACCTTAACCCATTGGGTTAAAAGCTTCGGTGTTAAGACATTACATATGCGATGTGCATGCATGCATTGACGATTAAATTCACCTACTATCAAACCCAAGTTTTCCATTATCGACGCTAAACCCCCTACATTAATCCATTATTGAATAAGTAACCAAAATGCCCCTAGCTTACATTCACCAACTCTAATTAGTACAAAACCACTAAGCCACCTTCCCAATTTTACCTGATTCTTATAAGAGAAATTTACATACATACCATCAAACTCAAATTTATTTACATATCTAACACCTAAATTTTGCTTTTTATATTTATACGACCCATATCTTTAATATCACATCAAAAATATCACTTTTAAAGAGTGAAATACACATTTTCATGCACAACTAAGAAAAACCGATGTTTACGTGTGAATACATAAGAATTGAATGGTATGTATGTAAATCTTCCTTCTTAAAAATGTAGAGAAGAAATTTTTCTCATGGGAATTAAACTTTCACTAAATATGGTGAAAAAAATAGTCTAATTGTTAATCTGATTCGGAACTATTGGTGGCGGTGTTGTCCGGAAAACATGCTTTCTGCAGCGCTCAAAGATGCCATCATACAAAAGATCAAACTGAACTCCTGCTCTCTCCCGATTTATAATGAAAAATATGTGATCCGCTTCGACAATCTTGTAGTACCTGCAAAACATATGGCTTAAGATTAATGCAAATAAGCACAAATAACCTTCATTAATGTTCAAATGACAATTAATAGAAAATGTGACTGAACTGTGAACAAGCAATTTATGGATAGGTTCATAGATTCTGGTTCTAGCTATGAGAAAACATTTATGATAGACAGATCTTTAACATCATATCAGAACAACCACTATTTCTAACTTTCTAAGAGTGAAATACATCTTTTCATGTGAGGTTTATAATGCCAAAATTGTTGTAAATGTAAACATCAAAAGTTAGGTGTTAGATATAGAAATACATAAGAAATTTGTGGTATGTAAAATTCCCTTTTGATTGCATTGTCTTTAGATGAATGCAATGGAAAGCTAATTCTCAAAGATGAAATGATTACGGGGGCTTTAAACACGTGTTATTTGTATATGTAACATATAAATTTTGATATTTATTTATGTAAAACTTAAATATTTAGCATCACATCAAAAATAGAATTAATACAAGTAAAGGGCGTTTCAATACATACCGCACAATTCTCATGCATTAAAATCTCTAACGCCTAAATTTTGATATTTACATATACATAATACTCAAAATTTTAAAATTAAATAAAAAATACTACTAATATTATAGTTTTTAAAAATAATATGTCATTTCATGCATATGTTTGCTAGATAACTAAATATCAATGCATAGATATTAGATATGTAAATATATATAAAAAAAAAAATTGTGCGATATGTATGTAAATTCCCTACAAATAAATATCTAAGTTTAGGTGATAGATATGTAAATATATAAGAATTGTGAGGTATAATGTAAACTCTCAATAAATAAATCTGAGAAACACCTATATGAAATTCTCATTAAGATGACAGAGCCAGCTTTTCTCTCCTGTTTCTAAGAGCCCATTTGGTTGCTTCAAATAAAAAAACAAGCTTTAAAACAACATGAAATCTGATCATTCCATCACATAAACTTCTCAAAAGAACCTCAAATAATAATAAATTCACTCTGACAACAGCAAGTATGAAAAACTTCCATTTATTAAATGTAATAGCATGAAAGTAAAGTAAAAATTTCTTTCAATGGATAGCATTTAAATTCATAAGAAGCAAACATCACTGGGAATGCTCAGAATAAGCCAACAATCACATTTTACAATAAATTGAAGAAAGAAGGCAAGGAAAAAGAGCAAGGATTGCATTAAAAAAAGAAAGAAAATTAAGTGTTAGCAACAAATTCAAAATTTTCAAGCTAATTTATATCGAGTCATGAGCATGATAATCTTCAATATGTAAATATATAACAATTGTGTGGCATGTATGTAAATGCCCCTAAAGCATAGAGAATTTACATACCACACAATTCTTATGTATTTGCATATCTAACACCCAAAGTTTGATATTTACATTTATAGCTCTTTAATATCATAAACCTAAGAACAAAAAGGTGCTTTCACTTTAAAACGTTAATAATTGTGATATTTCTGTTATAATATTGAAGATTTAAGTGTTAGACATGTAAATATGAAAGTTCAGGTGTTAGATATGTAAATATATAAGAATTATGTGATACGTATGTAAGCACCCCTAATGGATAATACATATTCACTAACCATATCCCGGGTTGCAAAGGATTACACTTCGACTCATCAATGACAAATTGACTCGGGTGTTCCACTGGTAATCGAGGGTGGGTCATTGATACAGTGTTGAGTGCTCCATCATTATCTTCCCAATCCTCATCCCTGATCACAATTGTTCATACAAAAAAGAGCAACCTTTAGAACATAAAATATGACATTTCATAACGAAAGTTTATATATCACTAAACTCTTATACTCAAAATTCATCCCACCTATAACCTTTGTAGGGTGGCGGCAAATCTTTAGGATAACGCCATTGACACATCTGCAAGACTCTGATAAAGAACAACGGATGAATTCCAAGCAAACTCGAGGGCACGGTGATTCCCATAATCTTCCTTGTTCGCCTTGTCGCATAGCTGAAATAGTATGTATTTGGAAAAGTTCGCAGACTCGCATTTGAAATCATTGATCCCTGAATTGTAAGATCGGGCAGAATCCAATCTCCTGAAGCAAATGGACCAGAATTCCCTAAGAGTAAATCAATGAGGCCTAAGAAACCAGATTTCTTCCATCCCATTTCAAAGTGATCAAAACCAAAATTGTAGTAGTTCTTAAGGAAAGCATTGTCAACCCAATCATACATTATGACTCCCAATCTACATAGCTGCAGAAGAGAGAATGTTTTCATTGATCTCCCATCTTCTGGCCTGATAAAAAAAAAATCATTTTTTTCTTAGTTAAATTTGGTAAAAGTTCAAGCTTTGGAAATTCATGGAATGAGGTGAATTTACTAACTGCATTCCATCAAAATAGGTTCTGGTGGTTCCATTAAGGGCTCCAGATAAGGAAGTAAGACTTAGCACCCAATCCTCAGAAGTGTTCTCATAGCCTTCAAATGCCTAACTTAATAAAATAAACAATGGCAGCTTTGATTAAAATTTAATTGACTTTTGTTCAAAGTTACAATGATAGAATTTCAGTCTCCATTACCTTATCAGCCAGCATCTGCTGCAAAACCCTAACAACTTGAGCTCCAGCAGAATGACCAACAAAATGGATTGGATGATGTTCATCCCACTCAGGGTAATTTCCTGCTCCCACCAAAACAAACATGCATCGATCATGAGTAAAATCAAACATTAATCACGAAGGCTCTATTAAGGCACCAAAATGAAAAAAAAAAAGGTTTACATATTTACCACCAAAGAAATATCCAATTACATATATGAATAAGGTTAAAAATTCGAAAAGTAAAAGTATATGCCATCACCTTGTTCATAAAGCTTGCCAAAGCGAGAATGGCCACATATACTGCTATGCTCTTCTCCATAATCCACCTTCCCTCCCTTCAAGTAGTAAAACAAATCCCGTGCCCTAACAACGCCAACACCCCCAAAACTCTCAAACAAACAATTTTCACCATGGATACAAATACAGATCTGTAAATAATTATTCGGAGTTTCAGATCTTACAAACCTGTCATGAATGCTAGTTAAAGATCCCAAATCAGGAACAAGGATCCGGTCGTCCTTCTTCTCTGCTCCGGCGAAATAGGAGAGACCACCTAGCCTCTGCAACACAGACAACGGTTAAGGAAAACTCGAGCATCCTAAAGTAATATTGAAGTGAGAATTCAAACGAGTTCTTCTAATTACATTACCCCTTTACCAAATCCAAAAATCCCGTGAACCAGAACAATCGGCGGCGGCGGGGAAACATCCATAGCCGCCATCTTAACCTTCGAATCCTCCTCTTTTACAACTTCATTTGAAGGAGAAAAGGGACGGATGCCGCCGGGCAAAGACTGCCATAGATCGGAGGCCACCGCCGAGCTGAAGATATAGAATCCGAAGAGAAGATGGACGGCAGAGCTGAGGAGCAGCTCATTCAAGCGGAGAAATCCAATCGATAGTCTTCCCATTCTCCTGATTAGAGGAGAAGAAGCAGAAGAAAGGGAAGAGGGAGGAAGAAGGCAGTTTTTCTGAACCTTCTTCCTCTCCACTGTTTCCTTTCTTCTCTTCAACTGTGGAAAGGATAAGGGACAAATAGAATGGGAAATACTATATCGGTCACGTGGAAATCTTTTTTTTTCTTTTTTAATAAGAAATTCGTAAGCGCGGAATCAATTATTTTCTCTTTTTAAATTTATTTCTCTTTCCTTTATATATATATATATAATATAATATAATATAATTGATCATTGATATAATATAAATATCGAAGTAAAAGTTTTAGATATATAAATATTAAAATAAAAATTTAAATAAATAAATACACAATGAGGGTGTAATTTGCATGTAAATCCCCTTAATTATTTTTATTTGCATTTCATAGCTAAATGTGAAAAGCAGGTGAATTTTATTGACCTGAAAAAATTAGTATTATTTATTGTTTTATTAATTAGGTAAAAAACAAGTAAAGCTGAGTCAAGGCCAGCTTGTCGAACTCTCACCTGCAGTTATCCACAGCTAATAAATCTGCTTATATATATATATATATATATAATAA